TCTACACCTTGTTATCTCAGATTCTCCAGCATCTGCAGTTCCTACTATCTCTGAGACAACTTGGGAGATTTACCTTAGTAGGTATACATGAATGCAAAATATAAGGTAGAAACATTCTTAAACCTTGCACCAAGCCATTACAAAGCTTGTTGTTTCATTCTTAATAAGGACATTTGCCATATTGAACATAATTTGCTTTAGGATTTTGACAAATGTATTCCTTTGCTTTTACATTCCTACTGTATACACTCTGTAACTAGTGGTAGTGACTCTCTACTGTATAATCTCTACCAGCATTGCCCCAAGTATGCTAGTGTACTACAAAGACGTTTAAGAAATAATGCACTACTAGATAAGTGAAACTACAAGCCTAGTTCTGCTTTATATTAAGTTCAGCTGGACCAACTTCTTAGTTAAACCTCACTTTGCACCAAGCTGACATTGTATTGTATGCATTGGGAAACTTCAGTTCTTAAATTTGACTTCAATGGAATTGGACTGATGAACTGAATTGTATTGCATTGATCCTATTAGAATCAGCGTGCATCCAAACACCATTCATAGTATGATAATAGCAAGTCTGGTAAAATCTTTGAAAAGATCTAAAATCTGTATGCTGTATATTCCTGAGGAGGTGAATATGGGTGTAATTGCAACATTTAAAAGACATTTAGATAGGTACATGAATAGGAAAGGTTTGGAGGGATATGGGCCAGGACCGGGCAGGTTGGACTAGTTTAGTTTGGGATTATGTTCAGCATGGACCAGTTTGACCGAAGGGTCTGTTTCCATGCTGTGTGATTCTGAACCTATGTATGTATCTTATACTAAGGATACTTTTATTTGAAATGTGGTGAAATTCGACGTTCAGCAGTTCGGAGATGCCACATAAATAACACAAGAAAATTAGAATGACCTTCATTAGTATCCCAATCTAATATACTCCACCTTTTGCAGTCTCAGTTGTCCAAGCAGTTACTTCGCGTGAGTCAGTCTGTTCTCAATGCATAGATGAGTTTTCAAATGAAACCATTGACAGCTGCTGATTTTATTTTGTGGGAACTGTGCAAATGGAATGTTTTTGTCTGTCAAGGAAATGTTAATAACTAGGGTAAACCATGATGAAATGATTTATGTGCTAATCAAACAGTATTTGGAGTTAGGGGAGTGATTAGAATGACAGCTAATGAAAAATATTTTATTAAGTTGACATATTTTTAGCTTTCACAACTAATGTAGCTTTCATTTAATTGTAGATTGTAGATATTATAGAACAGACATCGATTTATTGCTTTCTCTATTCAATTTCATTCAACTTTGCAGAAACTGTACCAACGGTTTCCAAACCCAAAGAACCTCAAACTGTCATTAGCAAATCTAATGAGGAAATAATACAGACACTCGAGGTGAGAAATAGAATTGCATGTTTATTTTAGTAGCCAATCTGTGACTTAATGCTATATCTTAACAAATGAAATTAACATTATCAATTCAGTAACTTAGATTTTTGGAGACTAATGACATCAAAAGATGTGGAGAGAATGCCACTTTCCTTGCAGTGTGATGCGATGATCAGCCATGATCTAATTTGAATGGTGAAGCAGGCTTGATTAGATGAATGGCCATATATTCTTAATGAGTTTTCTTTTTATCTGATCTGTTTGTGACTGCAGTTGCAAACAATCATGACTTATTCTTTTATTCTTCCAGACAAGACCCTTACCACAACCATTCGTTTAAGGAAAACATCTTTTGTTATGACTGCATAGTCTATTCCTCTTAGTACAATGTTGTTTATTTTGAATTTGTCAACAGTATGATAAAGATAAAAATTGTTTCATAAGGTTATTTATCATTCCCTGCTTTATTCTATAACTCTTTAATATAACAGCTGATTCTGAACTTTATCTTGCCTGAAACCAAATTTCATCAAGTGACATCCTATCCACCCTCTGCATTCAAATGCGTCCCTCGGGTTTTCTGACTCCATTTAAAATGCATTGCCAGTTAATGTGCAAGTACTGACATTCCTGACTTAGATATTGCTCAGTAGCCATGTTCTTTCATTTAGTTTTCTTGCCATAACTGTTTTTCCTGCTAGCTCAACTTTTATTTGGCCAAATGAAAATGCCTCTGATACCACTTCCTAAAATTTCGACTTGAACCTTTTTTTTCCTCCTGACTTTTCTATAAACTTTGCCACTTCCCACTGATTCACATCCTCCTTATGTCTGTATATAATTTTTGAAAAGCCTGTCCTTTTGAAAATGTTGCAGTTTGCCCAAGAGCTTTTATTTTGTTTTCCTGCTTATGGACATTGTTAGCAAGACCAGTATTTATAAGACTATAAGGCTTTAAGTTATAGAGGCAGAATTAGGCTGTTCAGGCCCCTCAAGTCTGCTCCACCATTCGATCATGGCTGATATATTTCTAAACCCCATTGTCCTGTCTTCTCCCTGTAACTCTTAATCCCCCTACTGGTCAAGAAACTACATATCTCTGTCTTAAATACACTCAATGACTTGGCTGTCACAGAAGGCTGTGGCAATGAGTGCCACAGATTAACCACTCTCTGGCTGAAGAAATTCCTCCTCTTTTCAGTTCCAAAGTGTTGTCCCTTCATCCTGACACTATCCCTTCAGCTCCTAGTCTCCCCTACCAGGGCAATATCTTCTCCATGTTCACTCTATCCGAACCTCTCAGTATTCTGTAAGTTTCAGTGAGATGTCCTCTCTAAACTCCATTGAGTACAGATCCAGAGTCCTCAACCGCTCCTCGTATGACAAGTCTTTCATCCCCGGGATCATTTTTGTGAACCTTCTCTGGACCCCTTACAATGCCAGCACATCCATCCTTGGAAAAGGGGCCAAGAAATGCTCCCAGAATTCCAAATGTGGTCTGAGCAGAGCTTCATTTAGCCTCGGAAGTTTATGAAAGAATCAGAGAATCCCTACGGTGTGGAAGCAGGCCATTCTTTGGAGTCCACATTGACCCTCTGAAGAGCGACCCCACTTCCCGCACATCCCACCCTGTCCCTGTAGCCGTGCATTTCCTATGGCCAATCACTCAACCTGTACATCTTTGGACTGTGGGAGGAAACCCGAGCAACCAGAGGAAAGCCACATACACATGGGGAGAATATGAAAACTCCATACAGTCAACCAAAGCTGGCACTGTGAGGCAACAGTGCTAACCACTGAGCTGCCCCTTCATCTTTGCTGTTGTATTCTAGTCCTCTCAGGTTGGGAAAGGTAGGGTGTGGGATTAAAGGAGTAAATAACAGGTGGAGATGGAGCCCAGAGAGAGAGAACAGCAGTTGGGCAGTTAAAGGACTGGATAATGGTGAGCTGGGGAGAAAGATAAGCTACTAATGGGGACCATTCGTGTGTGAAAATGGGTTGGATATAATGAAAGCAGTCTTTGTGATGATGGGGTGTGGTGGTAGGTAAAGGACACAAGGTGGTCAGGCCCTAAAATTATTGAACTCATTAGTGAGTGCTGAAGGCTGCAGGGTTCCCAAGTGGAAAATAAGATGCTGTTCTTCGCTGAGCCTCACTGGAGCACTACAGCAAGCCTGAGGCACCAATGTAAAGGTAAATAAAGGTCAACATAGTGCACCTATGGATAGTTATTAATGCTTAGTAAAGATTTAGTTGAACATTGAAGCTTCTGTTTGCTTATAGATGTTCTGTTTAAATTCTGTACCATACATAATTGAATGTTATCTCTGTTATTTGAATGGAGGATGTGCTTTTTGTGGTCTTCTGTGTTGTTTGTACAAATGTAATCCGTATGGTTAAAGGATCCTGTCTTCTTGCTGCCTTATTGCATGGAATTTGCAATATTCTAGTACTATTACTACTTCTGGATTAACTGTTTTAACTCGTGAAGTGAGAAAAAGCAATATCCATTTGTACTAATGATGGTTGTTTTCTATAGGTCCTAGAGAAGAAGGATTCAGAACATAAATCTGATGAAGAAACTGAAGAGAAGGAGAAAGATAAAGGTGACGAAGAGGATGAAGCTGCAGAAGAAGAATATGATGAGGAAGAATGTGAAGAGGTCAGTACTTAGCATTTCAGCCATTGTTCAGAAGCAAGGCTGGCAAATTTATGACCTGTTAACATTTCTGCTATATATGTACCATGGATCAGAAAAGTACCCATTTGTACTTATTACTACCAAGTCTGGAGAGGTGAATAAAATCCTCTTTTTTTCCAGTACTGAGTTTGGCATTTCAGAGCAATGGCAAGATTTGTGGCTGAATCGGATGAGAGTCTCGGGAGGCTGATCTTGACTTCGGGAGCATCCCACCCCAATTCAGCTTTCTGTCTTGCCAAATCTTCCCAAAAAAAAAACACAACTCAGACTTGGCCCAAAAATGTAGCATTCAACCCTGAGTTTTTGAAATTTGTCAATAAATATATTTTTTTCTTCAATTCTATATGTACTTGATATAGTTGCATTATAACTATGAAGAACCAAGCCAGACAGACCCCCTCTGACAAATAAAACTGAGTTAGCTTTTTGGAAACTTACTGAGGAAAAAGTTCAAATATTCACTGAAAGTGATGTCCTGAAATTGATAACATACACACATATACTAACATATAAGCAAACCGAACAAAGCACAGGGTAAGGTAAGGTGGAATTGTAAAACAATTACAGTTCTCAGATGATGGATTTATACATTCTGATGTTGATCTAAAGATTCTGGTGGGTTTTGAAGCTCATCTGGTTCAGTTGGTCTCCTGAAGGTAGTGTAAGGAGTAGGTTTCCACATTTTACAAGATCTCTGTTCACAGGTAGTTTTCTATCACAGTTGATCACCTTTTGCAGAACCAAGTACTCTACTTCCGAAGAGTTCCTTTGTTACAAGATGTTACTCACTTCTGTAATGACAACAGAAGCTTATAATGATGGCCTCTCTGAGAAGATGGAGGAGAAGAAACCCTCTGTTTTTAACAAAATGGTTACAATAGTCCATCAATGCTCCTCTTAGCACTGCAAGTTTCAGTTTTCAGTCTTTGTTTAGCAATACCTATAGTAGTTTTGTGTTTTGGATTAGCTGTTTCAACTCCTCAAATATCTAAACGCAATGTCCACTTTTCTTGTAAAGAGCATAACTCCCTCTCCCACCCAAGGCATTTCAAGGTTTCTTTATGAGCTGTACACTGCAGATGATGACTTTCAATGTTTACATAATTACACTTGGCATATCCTTTTCAGGGTGTCCTCAACAATTTGTCATGTTAGTTAGATTATGTTTTGTAAATTCTCATTGACCTTGGCCATTTTAAACCATCCCACCTCCTTTTTAAGGGCTTTCTCTTGAACCAAAGTTCCAGGCTTTGAAGTTAATTGATTTTTAAGGATCAGTGGTCCATATTTTATAGCATCATGACAATTTGGAGATACAAAATAATAATTAATTGTCTATCACCTGTAACTTTATTTCATTATTGGCAACTACATGTTCACGATCATAAGATATTGAATGCAATTTTGTAGAAAGTAAACTGAAAAATGATTTTCACTGTTTTTAGGAAAATGACTACATTGCATCATACTTCGATGATGGAGATGCCTATGAAGCAAGTGATGATAATATGGATGAAGCTACATATTAGTTGTCTGCCGGATTATGCAATTAATGTATACTGTGAAAGTGTTCACCATTCCTGCAGGATTGTTCTGTGTGTCCTCAGGTCATTTGCAGGGTTTTGTTTTGCACATGTAAAGGAATTCAAATAAGAAATATTGTTTACAATGAAGATAAATGGGTTCCACTTTAGCCTCAATAAGCATACATCAGTTAGCGCTGGTCACTTTAGACTGGTTGATTGAAACAAATCCTGGTTTAAATGCACTTAGGTTGGTGGTCGCACTGGCGTTCATGTACCTATGCAAGTCTTGTAGCAAAGAGCAAGAGGAATGTGTCAAAGTATCTTCCCTGGTGGTAATTTACATGTCAGCAGTTTCAGATAATGATTATCGACAGGGATCATTATTTATTCTGAACTATAATATATTGTAAGTGAAAGTAGACTGGTTTATTGCATCTTTGGTGCTAAAATGTGTCAGTTCTTTCAACTGGTTCTGACTTAAACAAGCATAAAAAAGAATTCAAAGCAATGGGTTGGAATAATTTGATTTATACTGCCTGAATATTTAGGAGCACTTGTATTGTTCTCAGGCTTAAAATTGTTCTGAAGTTATTGTTATCATAATGAAATGCAAACATGTTTGCAAAAAAAAAATCAATTGCCTCCATTGCCCAGGCATGTAACCTACCTCTTTAAAATTATAATTGCACAAGTATATGTCCTTGGATACTTCAAGCCTCCAGATTAGTGTCACCTCTTCAATGTAATTGGTTTTATTCTTGTGTTTGTGCGTTATGGGGCATTGCTTGCTAGGCTAATATTTACTATTCATCCTCAATTGCCTTTGAGAACTGATGAGCTGCCTTCTTGAATTGCTGCAGTCCTTGGGATGTAGATAACTTCCTGTACTATCAGGCAAAATGTATAATGTTTAGTAACTTCTTTAAAAGAAAGAGGCAGACCAAGGTTGAATATGAATGTGATAACTCACTACCCTCCGAACTATTCTCATTGAAACAGCATTTAAAGATCATTTGTTTGTTTACAAAAACCGTGATGAATAGTATCCTATATGAATCCTATATGAATAGAAATTTAGGAAATGACATGGCAGATCATGAAATGTGGTCAATCTGTCCCATTGATCTTTCATAAAAAAAATTCCAGGCTCTTCAATACATCTTACCGGCTTATACTCAGTATGGCTGCCTTATTTCCTGCTGTGCCTCCAATGGCTGGGTACCCTTTGGCAATCAGAATTGTACATCATGCACTAAATATGGATGTATGAGAGCTGCCTCATCACCTCTTGTGAAGCCAATATGTGGTTAACTATTCCTATAGTTGTTACAGTGTTGTGTTTTGATTCAGTGAGCTGTCCACCAAATAATCAACTCTTCTCCTGTAGCCCAGAGTGATATAGCTTCTAATTACACTTTTTAATACCTTCTCCAAATTTTGTTTCCCACTTACCAACCTGACTAGCACTGATACTACTTGAGTGACCCCTTTGTTATTGCTGAACCTACATTCAAGAACATTGTTTTCTGATTTCACCAGCCTTTAGTCTAAATGCCTCAAATTCCATGCCTTGTGAGCAAGTGACACAATCAAAAGCTTTTCTGAAATCATAAAAGAACTTGGTTTTCGAGAAAAGACATGTGCCTTTCATGTTCTCAGGTCACCCCAAAGCATTTCGGTCGATGAATTGCTTCTGAATCATAATCTCTGTTGTTTTGTGAACAAAATCTGCAAGGTCCCTCAAAGAACATACAAGTAAATGAATAAATAAGCTATTTTAGTTTGGGTAAGAAATAAATATTTGTTCTGCACTAAAGTCCCTGCTAAAGTTATAAATTCATTTTTTTTTCATTCTGAACTTAATCATAAACCTTAACGTAATGTTGTCAAAGATTTGAAGATGTCCTGTGAACTCCTGGTTTTTACTTAACATCAGGACAGTATTTTGAATAGGAAAAAATAGACTTCAGTCAGTCTGCAGCCCTCTTCTATCATAATCTGCATATAATCAAGGAACATGTAGACAACTTTCTAAGTGGTCTGACTGGAAGGTCTAGAATTACCCTGACAGGTTATTAATGAACTAATGACTTGAAAATTAAAGTGTAATATTACCTTGCCTTTACATTTTTTTAATAGGTTTTGTTAGTCAATGAAAACCAGTAGTACCAGGGCTTATTTGCATTTGATTTTGTATATTTTTGTGCATAAATAAATGATTTGGTATTTGCTATAACGTATGCTAAATGTATGAAATTTCTGCAGATTTTTAAAGTTACATATTTATTTGATTTACTTTCTAATATCATTTTGTTTATGTGATGTAAACTTAACATACCATGTCATATTCTTAATTCCCAAAAGTGTCAATAAAGTGTTTGGTTATATCACACACATATTTTGTTGTTGATTGAAATCTCAATTCTTATTTTGAGATTTTTGTCTCACTATCAGAAGTTAACAAATCAGATTAACATAGCAACAGAAAAGCAAATTTATATTTTGTTACACTGAAATTTGTTAATTTGGTGGATTTTGGTCTTTTGCAAGAAATACCAATCGATCAAATTTTACAACACAGAATTTTGTCAGCCTAATGCATCTTTCTTGTCTCCTCAGAGAAGCTATACAACTGTCCCACTCCCTTGCTCCACTTGTTTCTCCCTTCCAGTATTATTGAATTCCTTGTGACAGTTCCTTTACAATTTCCTTTGTAATAGTAATACGTTTATTAAGATTAGGCACATGATGATTAAAAATCATGTTTAGAATTTTTTTCATCCTCTTCCTCCACTAAGCCCCTCCCAAACTTTTAAATGCCAAGGAGAAGAAAGAAACCTAGGATCAATAAGGGAAGAAGCTGGAAGCTTGCTTCTACTTTTCAAAAATTAATTCATGGGATGTGAATATTGCTGACAAGTTGGTATTTACTGCCTATCCTAGTTGCCCTTAAAAGCAGCGGTGAGCTGCATTCTTGAACAGTTAAAAGTCTGTGCAGTAAAGATACTTCTGCAATGCTGTTGGGTAGGGAGTTCCAGTATTTTGGTCCACAATCGAAGAAAGAATGTAATGTTTCCAAACCAGAATGGTGCGTGTGACTTGGAGTACAGGTAGTAGTATTCCCAAATGTCCGCAGTCCTCATCGTTTTTGGCAGTGGAAGTCATGATTTTGCGATAATGGTAAAGAAACCTAGCTGACATGCTGCAGTACATCTTGTGGGACAGTGTACCAATGGTAGAGACAATGATTGGGTGATGGACATGTTGCCAATTGAGCAAGTTGCTTCTTTTCCGAATGGTCTCAAACTTGACTGTTAAACACATCAGGCAAGTGAATAATGTTCTATCCTATTTATGACTAGTCTCATAGGTTGTGAACTGGTTTTAGCAGGTCAATTGGATTTAAAAAAAAAACTTGTTACTAAATCAGCACTTCTGACTGGGTTTTTGTAGTTACAGTGGATATGTAGTTGGCAACTGTTAAAATCTTACCCTTCTACATCTTAGGAACTTAATGGTAACGATGGAATGTCAGAGATGTTGTTACACTCTTGCTTGTCAGAGATGATCACTTCTTTTATATGTTGTAACTGTACCTGCATCTACTACTTCCTCTGGCAGTTCATTCCACACGTGAACCACCCTTTGTGTGAAAAAGTTACTCTTCAGGTCCCCTTTAGATCTTTCTCCCCTCACCTTAAAAATATGCCCCCTAGTTTTGAACTCCACCACCCTAGAGAAAAAAATCTTTGTTATTCACCTTATCCATGCCCCTCATGATTTTATAAACCTATATAAGGTAACCCCTCAACCTCCACTGGAAAAAGTCCCATCCTCTCCTTTATAACTTAAACCTTCTAGCCTGGCAACATCCTGGAAAATCTTTTCTGCACCTTCTCCAATTCAGTAATAGCAAGGTGACCAGAACTGTACACAGTACTCCAAAAGTGGCCTTACCAATGTCCTGTACGACCTGAACATGATGTCTCAACTCCTATACCTAATGGTCTGAGCAATGAAGGCAAGCATGCTAAATGCCTTCTTAACCACCCTGTCTACCTGTGACCCCAACTTTCAAGGAACTAGGTACCTGAACCCCTAGGTCTCTCTGTTTGACAATACTACCCAGTATGGCCCCTACCATTTACTGTATAAGACCTGCTGTTGTTTGCCTTACCAAAATGCAAGACTTCACATTTATCCAAAGTAAATTCCATCTACCACTCCTCAGCCTATTGACCCAATTGATTAAAATCCCTTTGCAATCTTAGATAACCTTCACTGTTGACTACACAACCAATTTTGGTGTTATCTGCAAACTTACAAACCATTCCTCCTAAGTTCTCATCCAAATCATTTATATAACTGACAAACACCAGTAGACCCAGCACTGGTCCCTGCAGAACACCATTGGTCACAGGCTTCCAATCCAAAAAACAATCCACCACCATCCTCTGTTTCCTACGTCAAACTAAGTTTGTATCCAATTGACAAACTCACCCTGAATACCATGCGATCTAACTTTACTAATCATTCTACCATGTGAACCTGGTCAAAGGTTTTACTAAAGTCCATGTACTCAACATCTAGCGCTCTGCCCTCATCAATCTTTTTGGTTATATCCTCAAAAACTTAATCAAGTTTGGTACACACGATTTTCCTCGCACAAAGCTATGCTGACTATCCTAAATCAGTCCATGCCTCTGCAAATGCATATAAATCCTATCCCTCAGAATTCCCTTCAACAACTTACCCACCACTGATGTCACCCTCACAGGTCCATAGTTACCAGGCTTCTCCTTACAATCTTTAAATACAGGCATAACATTAGCCATTCTCCAGTCCTCTGACACCTCACCTAGGGCTATAATGATACAAATATCTCTGCTAGGGGACCCTGCAATTTCTTCCCTAACGTCCCACAACGTCCTGGGATACTCTTGATCAAGTCCTGGAGATTTATCCACTTTTTTTTAAGGCCTCCACCACCACCTTCTCTGTGATGTGGACTGTTTTCAAGACATCAGTATTTATTTCCCTGAGTTCCCCAGCCTCCATGTCTTTCTCCACAGTAAAAAGATTTGCAGATAACACCAAAATTGGTTATCTAAGATTGCAAAGGGATTTTAATCAATTGGGTCAATAGGCTGAGGAGTGGCAGATGGAATTTACTTTGTATAAATGTGAAGTCTTGCATTTTGGTAAGGCAAACAAAATATTCATTTAGTATCTCTCCCATCTCCTGTGGTTCCACATACAGATGACTTTGTTGATCTTTACGGAGTCCTATTCTCTCCTGAATTGCTTTAATGTACATGTAGAATCTCTTTGGATTATCCTTAACCTTATCTGCCAAGGCTATCTCTTCTCTTGCCTGCCTTTCTATCCTTCCTATAGCATTTAATCCGAGAACACTGAGCTGTCAGTATTTTCCCTCCATCAGCCATGTTCCTGTAATAGTTATGATGTTGCAGTCCCATGTTCCTATACATGCCCTGAGTTCATCTGCTTTACCTGTATGACCCTTTGCATTAAAATTCTTCAGTTACCTTGTTCTCTGACTTGCTCTTGCTTGCCTTGTGTAATTAACATGTTCTCTTTAGCTTCAGAACCATCCTCAACTGCTCTCTATTCTGTTTCGAAGTTGGTTAGAGTATTTGTGGATTGCAAGGCAGGATGTTAGAATTTGTTGTTTGAAAATGATAGGGGGAAAAGAGTGTGGTCCCTTTTAAAAGATTGACCCTTCATCAGAGGGTCTAGGCCCAAAACGTCAGCCTTTCTGCTCCTATGATGCTGCTTAGCCTGCTGTGTTCATCCATCTCTGCACCTTCTTGTCTCGGATTCTCCAGCATCTGCAGTTCCTACTATCTCAGGTGCATACATGACTCCTGAAATTGAAACATTTACATCAGGGGCTCTGTGGTTACTAACCCAGGCAGTAGTTTGTTCAGGCAACCACTTTGAATATCAGCCAACTGACGTAAACCAGGCACTTTCAGACTGAAAACCAATTAAATTTAAATCTAATGGTTTTGACAACATAGGACCAATCCTACTGTAAGAAACTGATAGGTCATCAAGGGTATAAAAGAAGAGGGCATTTGAAGATCGGTATGAGAGCAACTGTCATCTGCTAGAGTTAACAACCCTTCAGCTCTAAAGAGAAAATCACTGACTCTCACGGAATTCTCTAAGCTCACAGAATAACCATCATCTAACTAAAAGTATCACGGCACTCTTAGCGTATATTCCTGACACAAGAATTCGACGGAGAAAGGTGTTCCTGACTGAGGATCAGCAGAGAGAGCACACAGCATTCCAGAATATGTAACCTAGCTATAATTTCAAGAAATTAAGTTTGTTTTAAATTTTGGTTTATGTAAGTGGGATCTGCATTTATTGGAACAGCATACCATTGGAGTTTTGTTTTATGGGGGAATGGTTAGTGATTAAGAGAGAATTGTTCGGTTTGTTAGTAGTTCTGTTAATTTGTTCACTGTTAAAGTTAGATAGATAAATTGTTAATTGTTGATTTATTGAGCGAGTAAAAGGATTTCATTTCAGTTAACCACTCCTTTCTAACAGATTAGGGGATGAGAGACAGATTATACCACTTTTCACACTTTGTTTTTAAAAACAGATTTTGAGGAGAGGTGAGCCTTTCTGGGTGTTTCCGTTACCTCCGCTTTGTAACAGATTGGAGGCTCATGTCCAGGATCTGGCCGGTTCGTGTATGGGATCCGAATGGATTTGGACAAACTTGAACAGATTTGGGTACGAAAGGTCCCAGCAGATTTAAACAGATTTGGGGATGAGTGTCCTAGATCTTTAACTAAAATTTAGGTGAGAGGTGGAAAATCTGTTTAATTTCGATTACTTGTGGTTGGTTAAATCAAAAGTGGGGTAAATGGCTTTTAACATTGCTAAAGAGGTTCTGGGGTTTGAAGATGCTTCCCAAATTTGCCAAGAAAGTTTAAAAAGACAGAGGAAGGATATACTTTTAGACTTAGCAAACAGGCTAGAATTGGGTTTAATTAGTGATAAGAGGAAAGCTGAAATTGTAATAGAGTTGGTCAAGCATTTAGGTGTATCAGAGAAACAGGCAAGTGCAGTGAAGTTAGAGAAAATTAAATTGAAAATTAGACAACTGGAGTTAGAAAGGAGAAAGGGAACTGAAACGGTTTGAATTACGGTTACAAGCAGAGGAAAGACAAAAGGAAAAAGAGAGGAAAGGGAGAGAGTTTGAAATTCAGAAGTTACAAATTAAACAGAAAAGCCAATTTAAAAGGATGGAGATGAAGATAGAAGATAGGCTTAGTGAGGAGGAGAGTGATGATGAGCAAACCCATTATAGCCAAAGACGTGGTAGGGCTATATACAAATATGTCAAAACATTACCAAAACTCAATGAAAAAGATGTAGAAGCCTTTTTCATTTCCTTTGAGAAATTGGCTAAACAGATGAATTGGCCAGAGATTGTGTGGGTAATGTTAATTCAGACGAAGTTGGTAGGCAGAGCGAGTGAGGTGTTTGCAGCACTGTCAGACAATGTGTCAGGAGACTATGAAGAAGTAAAATAGGCTATTTTGAGTGCCAACAAATTTGTACCAGAAGCATATAGACAACAGTTCAGAAATATAACGAAGGAACCAGTCAGACTTATGTCGAATTTGAAAGAATTAAACATAGCAACTTTGATAGATGGATGAGAGCATTAAAGATAGAAAAGCCATATGGAGGATCTGAGAGAGATTATTCTACTGGAGTTCAAAAACTCACTTCCAGAAATGATACAAACTCATGTTGAGGAACAGCAAATTAAAACAGCGAGAAGAGCTGCAGAGATAGCAGAAGAATACGCGTTAGTGCATAAATTGAAATCTAACTTCTGACAGCAATTTCATTCCGTGAGGGATAGAAACTGGGAAAGAAGGAGATCTTTCAATAAAAAAACAAAAAGTAGATCACACTGGGAACAATGTAGCACTTTTTTTTTCCTTTATTCATTCATGGGATAAGGGCTGGTTAGGCAGCATTTACTGCCCATCCCTAATTGCCGAGAGGGCAGTTAGGAGTCAACCACATTGCTGTGGGTCTGGAGTCACATGTAGGCCAGACCAGGTAAGGATGACAGTTTCCTTCCCTAAAAGACATTAGTGAACCAGATGGGTTTTTCCTGACAATCGGCAATGTATTCACAGTCATCATTAGATTCTTAATTCCAGATATTTATTGAATTCAAATTCCAACATCTGCCATGGCACGATTTGAACCGGGTCCCCAGAACATTATCTGGGTCTCTCGATTAACAGTCCAGCGATAGTACCACTAGGCCATCACCTCCCTGTATGAAATGTGAAAAAAGAAACCCAAGAGGGTGGAAGAGAGGTTAAAGACCTCAGGTGTTTTCACTGTAATAAACTGGTGGTTTAAGAAAGGCACTGGGAAAATGTATTTTCACTGCAATAAGGTGGGACACACGAAGTCACAGTGCTGGTAGATTAAGAGAGGCACTGGGAAAAAGGATGTGGTAAAAGAGGCTAAACCAATGGGATTCATTGAGGTAGTGAAGGAAATCCCAAGAGAAGTAGAGGAGCTGCAGGAATGTGCTATATTCTATTTTATTCTATATTACAGAGATCTAAAAGAAGAGGTTCTGAAGAAGGGTCTAGGCCTGAAACGTCAGCCTTCCTGCTCCTATGATGCTGCTTGGCCTGCTGTGTTCATCCAGCTCTACACCTTGTTATCTCAGGTTCTAAATACAGTATTTTTCTCCCCCCTAAAAAAAATACTACCTTCCCTTACCCACAGTTTTTAGTTTTAAGCATACAAAAGAAAATAATTAATATTTAATTTTTTAAAGCTCACTTCATTCTTCTTCCCAAATGCATTATTTCATACCTTCTAATATGAGCCTTATCAACAGTTTAGCATCCTCAAGTTTGCTAATTTCCAAGTTCTACAATGCCTGTAACTTCTGAAATTATCACCTTTATCCAGGTCATTAGTCGATTCTAACAAGTGATCCGACTAATGGTCCTGCTATTCAATTTTAGGTCCAAACCTTAGTAATGATATATTGGCCTTAAATGAGGCACAGTATAGGTTCACCAGTTACAGTAGGGCTTAAAGGTCTAAAACAATGTGGCAACTGACCTACTCATCATGATCCAAATGGTGGGGGATTTCCAGAATCAGAAGGCATAATCTGTAAATGTAAAGGTCAGCCATTCAGAAATAAAAGTTTGCAAGCTCAAAGGGTAATAGTGCTAGATAGTTCAGCTGAGCGGGGCAGGTTACAGGATTTTTTTTTTCTCTCTCTGCAAGTTAGACATACTCCCACTGACCCTGCAAACTGGCATGTTAATGACAGTAGTGCTAGTGAGTGAGACCAATGCTAAGAATGTTGAGGCTAGTTTGTTTACTCATTGTTTATTCCAAGCTAAATATAAGTGAGAAATACATTATGCATATGTGTTTCAATTTTTCAATTTTTATTCTAAATTTTATGATAAATTCCAAAAGAATAGATTCTGTTACAAAGCTTTAAGAAAATACAACCGGTGTAAATGCTGGAAGTTCATTTTTTTTAAACAGCCACATTTTCATTTATAATGTCAACAATTTAGATCCATTTGATCTTTTGTTCACAGTTATAATCTCCAGTTTAATTACAGAATAACTGCTACACACAACACTAACTTTGAATCGTTCAACACTAAATATCTGCATGCTCTCAACTATGGTAATTTAACAGTCAATAAATACATTTTTATATTAAAACTATTAATCTCAGGCAACAAAATTCCTTTATATGAATGGGTGAGATTAAGACTTTTGTGTTGTGACATTCGGAATGTGCTATTATTTATACATTTAAAAAGAAAAGTAGTAACTGCGTGGTTGCACCTAATATCATTGAGCTGCTTTAAGAAAGGGGCATCATTTTTGAAACTGCTTAAAGTTTGTTCCTTTATCTTACATATTAATGCTTGACAGAATTGCAGTTCAATAACTGTTGTGTTTTCACTCTTGAAAATAACTGGACCACAAAAGAAATCTTGTTCACAACAAAATTAGAAATATATTTTACAAAAGCTAATTAGGAAAGGAAGACATTTATTAAGAAACAACAAAGATGTTGTTTCGGACTAAAATATTAATCCAAGTTCAATTATAGATGCTATATGTTATCAACTGACCCAGGCAAAAATTCTTCTCACATGAAATTAATTTTGTCAGTTACCTTTATATTATTATTTCCCATAACATTGGAAGGCAAGTCTTAATGCTTCTCTTCTTGAGTTGAATATATGACATTTCTAGCATGATGCAACTTCCCCAGACACTTTTGAACATAATTGTTTTATGTTTGCACTGCACACAATGCTGTGCACTAGATGTTTGTGGTCAGGTGACAGTCACATGAACATTAGAATTCACTTGCTCAAGGGCCTCATCTGAGGCCATTTTTGTCCTTTCCACAGAATTAATTCCATAGCTATACTTTGGCTCTTGCTGTGAAGGCTGGGTAACAGGTAGGTTTGTTGATTCCACAGTAGAATGATGGCTTGTCTCGACCTTTACAAGGACTTCATAGTAGAGTAGATAAAACACAGGTGTAATAATTCCAACTACCAACATTATCATCACTGCATTCCACCAGCGCATGCCCCAGTCAGCTCCATAATGCGGATCTTTCCGTGGTAATATTTTTCGATCTGCTGCTTGATAAAATGGTTGTGTAGATAAAGCTGAAACAACCTCATTTAAATGCTCCTTTGTGGTATCATTTGACTTCACTATTCTTTCTATATCTTTATCAACCTCACGGAGAAAGTTATCAGCGTTTTCATTTGAAGAGCAATCTTCACCCGTATTGGATTCCTGAAACTGTGCATTAGCTTCCAAGGCAGGACGTGGAACTAGTCTTGATTTGGCTGGACTGTACGTGTCACCGAGTAAAGTGATCTTTTTCACAGGAATCTTTACAGATCTGAGAGCAAAAAAGTCTTGGTCTTTGATCAGATTATTAATTCTCTTGATATCTGCAACCTGAAAATTAAATTTCATGTTTAGCAAGAAAAATTGTACTCACGTTGTTCTTTCTGAAAGCTTTGCATGGTGCACCTATATTTCTCGTTACCATCAATAAATGCATGACATCAATCAGATTACAATTCTAATGCCAAAGCTGGTAGCTGCCTCAAACTGTATCCCAATCTCATCCGTTCTGTGCCTGCATTTTGACCTCCCACTATTTTCCTGGACCTCTAGATTCAGTTCGTAATCCCAGGCTTTTCTACTTTGCATTCCTAATGGAAAAATAAAAATCTCTTCCATTGTTTTGATTATGACATCAGTCAGAATGTAAAATCTTTTTGAGACAGTGTGGTTTGTTGAAATTGATTTTTTGACTTAAGAATTAGGGACTTCTGGGAGGTAGTTGGGTATATTGTTGAGTATATTGTTGAATGAGTGAAGGGGCACAGGGAGCAACAGGGTGGCACGCAATTTCAGAAAATGGAGCAAGAAGAAACTGAGTTTATAGTGAGTTACTTCCAGTGAAAAGCTCATTCTAAAATAAGCAGAAATTACCAGGTTAGTGGTACTATGCACAGTGACCCATGTACTCCAGTCACAAACATGAGTCATAACTTTAAAAAGTCTAATTACTGTAACAGGGCAGAACAAGCTAAGGCTAATTGAGACTAAAACATTTGGCAGTGAATAAACTTTAGAAACAATTTAAGAAAGAATTAAGTGTTCAAAAAAAGCAGTTCCAATGAAAATCAAAACTCAAAAATTCATCTGTGGGTCACTAGGAAGGTTAAAGATCATATTAGATTAAAACAGGCTGATAATATGGTAAAAACTAGTAGCAAGTCCGAAGATTGGGAGTGTTTTAAAAACCAGCAAAGAGTTTGAAAACCAAAAAACTCTTAACTGCCCTCTAAAAAAGCATAGTAAGCAACAATGTTATATCAACTGCTGACAAATGCTCAAATAAAAAGGAATCAAACTGGATAGATCACTTGGAATTGATGTAGGTACCAGAAATATCGCTACCATTATCCCTGGATAAGTCCTGTCTCACCAGCAGCATAGACCCAACAGAGGTGGCAGAACAGTGGTATAAAGTCAGAAGAAAGTTGCTCTGAGAGCCCTCGACATTGTGTTCGGAATCAATGAAGTTTCACGCATCAGGTCAAACATGGGTGAGAAAACCACCTGCTGATGACTCTGTACTGCCCCGTTCCAATTGATGAATCAGTACTTTTCTGTGTTGGAGGCAGCATTGAAGATGGCAAGGGCACAGAATGTACTGTGGGTTGTGGATGTCAATGTCCATTACCAACAGCAGTTTGGCAGCACTACTAATGACCAACCTGGTAGAGTCCTAGAGCTCATTGCTGCTAGACTTGGTTTGCGACAGGTAATGAGGAAACTGAAAAGAGGGAAGAAGTTTTTGTTTTTGTGAGGATCTTCACTGCCTGCTGCAAGTGCATCCGTCCATGTCAGAATGGTAAGGGTGACCATCATATAGTCCTTCTGGAGACCAAGTCCCATTCTCACATTAAGGATATTCTCTGTTGTTGTGTGTGCATCATCACAATGTTAAATGGGATAGATTTCAAACCAATCGAATAACTTAAGACTAGACATCCATGAAGTACTGTCGGCCATCAGCAGAACAGTGTTCAACCACAAGCTGTCACCTCATGTCCCAATATATTCCCCCACTCTATCATCATCATCAAGCCAGGCGATCAACACTCCTTCAATGAGTTGTGCAGGAGGGGATCCAAGGAACAGCAGTAGGTATACCTAAAAATGGGATGTAAACCTTGGAGAAGCTACAAAGTAGGATGACTTGTGTACCAAATAGTACAAGCATTCTATATGATATCAAGAAACAGCTGAAGACACTTGAATATTGTAAAGACTTTGGACCCTAACAACATCTGGCAATAGTACTGAAGAAGTGTACTCTAGAACTTGCTGTATTCCTAGGCAAGCTGCTCCAATACAGCTATGACACTGGCATCTATCCGATAATGTAGAAAATTGAAATTCAACAAAAAGTGCTGGACAATCCCAGTGTGTCTGGCAGCATCCATGGAGAGAGAAACAGAGTTAATGTTTCAAGTCCAATATGACTTTTTCAGAACTGAAAGGAGCTGGAAAATGATGTTTTTTTTAATGCTGGTGACAGAGACAGGAGGAGGAGCAAGTAGAACAGATGGCGACATGCCCAGAACTAAAGACGAAGTAAATGTTAACTGTGAAAAGATTGCACCTATTTTCATATCTATTACTCCTTTGCCACCAATATCACAGCCTTTTTTTTGGTTTCCACCAAGGTCACTCAACACCTGATCTCATATAGCCTTGGTACAAATATGTAGAAAAGAACTGAATTCCAAAGGTGAGATAAGAGTGACCGCCCTTGATATCAAGTCCACATTTGACTGAGAATGGCATCAACAAACTCTAGCACAACTGGAATCAATGGGAATCAGGGGATCAGGGGAAAAACTCTCCACTGGTTAAAGTTATAGCTGGCACAAAGTAAGATGGTTCTTCATGTTAGAGGTCACTCATAGAATAGAGAACAGTAGCACAGAAACAGGTCCTTTAGCCCATCATGTCTGCATTGACCGTAATGCCATTCTAAACTAATGCCAGCTGCCTGCATATTGCTTGTATCTCTCTATTCCCTGAGTGTTCATTTATCTATTTAAATGCCACTTAAACGTTGGTATTGTCTTTACTTCTACCATTTACCCTGGGTGCACATTCGAGGCACCTACTACCCTCTGTAAAAAATCTTCTGTGCACATCTCCATTAAACCGTTCCCCTTTCACCTTAAACCTATGCCCCCTGGTATTTGACATTTCTACCCTGGGAAAAAGACTCCAACTGTCCACTCTATCCATACATCTCATAATTTTATATTACTTCTGTCAATCTATGATGTGCTAGTGAAAACAGTCCAAGTTTGTCCCACCACTCCTTATACCGAATACACTCCAAACTAAATACATGCCTAACTAAAGTTTTATAAAACTGCAACATGACTTGCCACTTTTTATACTCAAGGCCCCACCTGATGAAGGTAAGCATGCCATATGTTATCTTAACCACCTTATCCACTTGTGTTGCCACTTTCAGGGAACTATGAACTTGCAACCCCAAGATCCCTTCATTTATCAATGTGCGCAAGGGTCCTGCCATTTATTGTACACTTTCCTCTTGCATCACCTCACACTTGTCCAGATTAAACTCCATCTGCCATTTCTCCACCCAACTCTCTAACTAATCTATATCGTGCTGTATCCTTTGACAACCTTCCTCACTATCGGTCAGAAGCTAGGAATCCTGCAGCAAGTAACTCACATCCTCAATCCCAAAAGACTATCTTCCATCTACAATAAATAAGTCAGGAGTGTGATTGAATATTTCTCACTTGCCTGAGGATGAGTCATAGGTTTGACACCATTCAGAACAAAGCAGCCCATTGGCATCACATCCACAAAGATTCACTCCCTCCATCACCAATGCTCAATAGCAGCAGAGCATACTGTCTATAAGATGCACCGCAGAAATTCACCAATACTCCTTAAAATGCATCTTCCAAAGCCACAACCACTACCATCTAAAGGACAAGAGCAGCAGAGAAGTAGGAACACAACCACCTGCAAGTTCATCTCCCAGCCATTTATCCTCCTGACTTGATGAAAATCTCGTAACTCCCTCTCAATGAGCATTGTGGGTCTACCTTCACTAAATGGACTACTGTGGTTCAAGAAGGCAGCTCACCACCATTTCAAGGAAATTAGGAATGGGCAATAAATGCTAGCCCAGCCAGCTGTGCCAACATTCTGAGAAAGAATAAAAAAAAATCACTTCTGTTTAAGAAAGGAGGGAGAGGAAAACTGGGAACAACAGGCTAGTTAGTCTGACATCAGGAGTGTGCTGGGATCTGCGATTTAGGAAGTCTTAGTATGATTAGAACAAGTTAGCATGTTTTCAACGGAAGGGAGATCTGGTTTGAAAGATTAATTTGAATATTTAATTGTGGTTAATGCAATATTGAAGGAAGGATATACTTGCATTGGAGTCAGTACTACCAAAGTTCATCAGATTAGACCCTGAAATGAGAGGCTGAACAAATTGGGACTTGTGAGAAAAGATTTAACAGGTTGCGACTCTACTCACTGGAGTTTAGCACAATGAGAGGAGATCATATTGAGACATGTAGGAATCTTAGAGTTTGACACACTAAATGCAGAAAGGATGTTTTCCCTCATGGGACTGTCTAGGACTGGAGGGCTTAATCTCAGTATAATGGGGCACCAATTTAAGGATGAGGTGAGGATTTTCCTCTCTCAGAGGGTTGATTGTTTTTGGAACTCCTTACCACAGAGAACTATGAGGGTAGAGTCCTTGTGTAAATTTAAGAAATTACAATAGGATAGAAGAACAGATAGATAGATAGTAGGACAAAGGGCAGGAAAGTGAGGAGTGCTGGAGTAGCCCACTGAATGCATCCCATCAAAAGAACTGTTAACAAAAAAAAACAAGATTTTGAAAGCAAAAAACCAAAGCTGGCTACTGAAGCTGAAGGACTTTTGATACCCAAGAGCAATGGAGATATATACCTGTAGAAACAAAACATTAATGGGAATGAGAAAAAGCAAGGAAACATCATTGCATTAAAAAGTATCCCTAAAAAAGGACATGTTATGTCAAAGCTTTTCATCATACAACAATCAGCATAATTCAGAAGAATACCAATGCAAAGGGAAAACAACATTTACATTGTATAAGAGGATGCTGATTGGTTGACAAGTGGACTCTGAGTAGTAAATGGAATTCCATAGAAAATGCATCAGTTAGATGATGACTCACAGTTAACTGCTAATCTTTCTTTAACTTTAAACTAGGCAGATGGACTCTGATTGGTCAAGGTATTGTCCTGAGGAATGAACCAAACAACAGCTGTCAACTATTTTGTTGAATTGAAACAGAAACACTACGTTCTTTCTGT